AATTTTTTCAAAATTTCAAAACACTGTTTTCAACAAACGGTGACAGAACAACTGGCCATTCATTTAAAAAACAAAAAAACAAACAAGACACGAAACTAGAGACAGACCTTACACCTGTCACGAAATTAGCTCAGAGTTGATCACAGACCTAAGTGTAAAACACAAAGCTATAAAACTCCTAGAAGATCACACAGGAGAAAATCTAGATAATGTCTAGTGATGACTTTTTGATAAACACCAAAGGTACAGTCCATGAAAAAAAGAATATGCTAAATTTTATTACCATTTCTACCTGTGAAAGACACTGCCCAATTAAAAGATTGGCAAGAGATTTGAAAGACATTTCTCCAAAGAAGATATGTAAATGAACAACATATATATGCAAAAGATGTTCAACATCATTAATCATTAGAGAAATAAAAATTAAAACTATAATGAGATACCTTTCATGCCCACTAGGCTAGCTATAATCAAAGAGATTGGTAATAACAAACGTTGGCAAAGATGTGGAAAAATTAGAATGCTTGTGTACAGTTATGGGAAATGTAAAATGGTATAAACAGTTTGACAATTTCTGAAAATGCTAAACATACAGTAACCATATCCCCCAGCAATTTCACTCCAAGTATATATATCCAAGAGAAATAAAAATATATATCCATGCAAAAATTTGTACATGAATGATCGTAGCAGCATTATTCATAATACCCAAAAAGTAGAAACAAGCCAAATGTCCATTAGCTGATGAACAGATTAAACAAAATACAGTTTATTCATACAATAAAACATTATTTGGCAATAAATAGGAATTAGGTACAATCCACATTAAGGGAAAGAAAAACTCAAAAACCATCTATGTCCTTGAAAACATGCCAAGTGAAAGAAGCCAGTCACAAAATACTGCGTAATGTATGATTCTATTTAAATGAAATGTCCAGAATAGGCAAATCTATAGAGACAGAAAGATTAGTGGTTGCTTTGGACTGGGGAGAGGGTGTAGGGGAATGGGGAGTGAATGGGTATGAAGCTTTTTTGGGGGGTGATAAATATGTTCTAAGCTTACATTGCATTGATGGTTGTACAACCTTTCAAATATACTAAAAGTCAATTGTATACTTTAAGTGGGTGAACTTTATGGTACATGGATTGCATTTCAGTAAAGATGTTTTTAAATGTTCATATTAAGATACTCCCATGATGAAATGCATAGACATTTCAGCAGTAAAATGCTAACATATAGTGATACGCCAAATTTGAAAATAAGCCTACTCTCTTCAGATATTATATCCACCCCTGACCCGCTCCCAAATCCCAGCTTACATTTCCTACTCTCCATGGAGGCCCCCACCTGGATTTCCTGTTGGCCTCTATGCTCACAAATTGCCCTCAATCTGAGCCTTCTCTTAGGTGCCTTTTCCTGATGGTAGCCCCATCGTTTTTGTAATCTAGATTGAAAAATTTAGGACCATCTCTAAATCCTACACCTCCCCTGTTCATAAACCCAAGTGACTCCACTTCTAACCAAGTTTACTCATTCCTCTCTTCCCCTCCATGCCCACTGTTGCTGCTGCTCCCTTAGTTCAGACCATCAGTTTTTGCTCCTGAATTAATGACATCTTCTAGCTTCTCCCACCAGCCTGCACCCACGCCAGATTAACAGTCCCTGGAAGAGCACGAGTCACATCACACCAGAGCTCAACAATTCTAGGTGCTGCCTGTGCTTATTGAATAGAGTCCAAGTTCTTTCATCTGAAAGTTCAGGAAGTTCTTTGGTTTTGTTGTATTTTTATTTTATTCCCAACTACCTGTCCCCCACTGACTCCCTTCACAAATGCTTTATATTAAAAAACCATCTGTTGGCCCAGCACGGTGACCCGTGCCTGTAATCACAGTACTTTGGGAGGCTGAGGCAGATGGATCACCCGAGGTCAGGAGTTCAAGACCAGCCAGCCCAACATGGTGAAACCCTGTCTCTATTAAAAATACAGAAATTAGCCAGGTGTGGTAGCGGGTGCCTGTAAATTCCAGCTACTCAGGAGGCTGAGGCAGGAGAATTGCTTGAACCTGGGAGGCAGAGGTTGCAGTGAGCCGAGATTGCGCCATTGCACTCCAGCCTGGGTGACAAGAGCGAAACTCCGTCTCAAAAAAAGCCAAAAAGCATCTGTTGTTCCCTTTGAGTGTCACTAAACTCCCAATTCCTTGCTGTCTTCCACCTAATAGGTCATTTCTCCTTATCTATGAATATCCAAATTCATGCTCAGGATCCTCCAGGAATCTGAAGTAATATCCCCTTCTTTTCTGGTATCTTATACCAGTCATGACACAGACCTCTGTCCAGATATTTTGACTTTATACACATTTGTGTATTTTATTGCTATGTCTAACCCAAGTTCTCCAGTCCTCACTCTGTCCCCTCTCTTCAATAATAAATCCAAAATATAAAAATAAATACGTCTTTTTTAAAAGAAAGTTTTTAAAATTTTCTTTTAAAAGAAGGGGCAAAAATGTTTTTTAAAAAAGAAAAAATGTTGCACTCAATCTTTGCTATGGGATTCTTGAGGGTCTAATCAGTGCTTGATTTGTAATTCTGAGTCTCTTGCACGGTACGGTGCCAGGCACTCAGTAGGTATTTACTAAAGGTTCGTAAAAACAAAGGAGAGAAGAAAAACAGAAGATATGCTTCCTGGCCTTGAGGGATGTACAATAATCTCATGTGGGAGCTGGGAGGAAATTATTCAGATGCAAACTGAATAAGCGAAGTATAACAACGAGTGTGTCTCCAAGTGCTATGTAGCACAAAGGTAACATTTAATACAACTGTGGGGAACTGGAAGAGGCTACTGATTTGGGTGGGATTTTAACAGACAGATCTGGGGTGAAGAACATTCCAGGTTGCGAGACTAACATCAACAAAAACCCAGGTAGAAAAGTGTCAAACATATTTGCAAGAAGTGAACCGTGGGATAGGATTGATAAGTAGGTTCATGCTTAGGTGAAGGGAGACAGAGTTCCGTAAGTACAGATAAGCCCTGAAAAGTATGTTGGAGACAGATCATAGAAAGGGTTGAATCCCAAGATGGAAAATTTGGACTTTATTGTGTGGGCAGTGAGGATCCCTGAAGATATTTAGTTGAGCAATCAAAGAGCCCAAAAGTCAAAGAAGCCTGAAGGGCAGTTTCCTGTAAAGCAAAGAAAGCTGTGTTTTAGTGGATAATCAGCTGCTGATTTACCTGATTGGGGATTCAGCTGTGAATGCCTCAAGACATGGGAGTGGGGGGAGGTAATACTGATTCCGTTTTAAAGGGACTTCAAACAGTTCAGCTTTTTTCTTTTTTTAAATCCTGAAAACCTCTGTTTTCTTAAAGTACACATAAGTTAACCAAAGATTCCAGGATAAGTTTCTGTTTGGATAATGTTTATTTTGGTACCTTGAAAGCTTGGCAGTTGCTTAGAAATTCAATTACAACTTGCCTTTAAACAAAATCACCCTTGGGAATGGTAGGTTCGAGCTGATCTCGATATATTAACTTGACATTATGAGACAGTTATGCTGCAGGTTCAGAGGGTTGATTAAATCTTAAAGTGAACACAGAACAGGCACCGAAAGCACACATTTTGTTTAGTTGGCTCCTTTAGTAGAAGAGACAAAGGGAAAGAAACAGCAACATAAATGGAGGCTATTTTTATTGTCGTTTAAAGGGAGGCCTCCTCTGTGCCAAATGGGAAAATATAGCACCAGAGCCCAGGGCTTCTCTTCAAGACTGTGGATACACAGAGGTTGTATACAATCTGTGTATGTGGACACACAGAGAAAAACACAGATTGACAGGGCTAGAAGGACACGGAGGCTCCAAGCCACAGATAGGCCTGTGGGGGAAGAGAGGAAAGTTAAATGCTGACAAAGTGCTCAATCAGAACTTCGGCTCTTTAACTGAATTCAAGTATTAACCCCAGTAAGTGGCAGAGACATTTATTGCCCACTTACAATAATAAAATGCTTTTCCACATTTTCCATGTTCTCCGGTAGTTAGGAAGAAGCCATGGGACTAGCTCTGGCCAAGGGGCTGAGAGCAGAAATGATGGATGTCAATCGTAAGCATTTAGGAGCTGGTATTCTACCTCCGTGCCCTCTCTTCCCTTCTTATCCCTGTCTTGAAGGCCCCGTGTTCCAGCAATCAGCTGAGGGATGGTGAAGCACCTGTCAACTGGGGTTCCTGAGCAGGAAATAAACCTTAGCTAGGCAAGCCACTGAGATAATAGGGTTTGTATGTACCACAGCAGAGCCTAATCTATTAATACTAATTCATCCCCCAAATCCAGGTTCTTCCATTGTGTTAGATCTTCTGAGTTTGAGCTGGACACACGGCTACCCAGAATAAAAACTGTATTTCTCCAACCTGCCTAGTGGCTGAGAGAAGCAACAAGTTTAAAATCCAGCAAATGGGACATAAGTGGAAATATTGCCCCTTCCTTAAAGAAGCAGCAGTAGTATATCTTTTGCTGTTGTCTTTTTTTTTTTTTTTTTAACACAGGGTCTCACTCTGTCACTCAGGCTGGAGTGCAGTGGTGTGTGTGATTTTGGCTCACTGCAACCTCACCTCCCGGACTCAAGTAATCCTCCCACCTCAGCCTCCCAAGGAGCTTAGCTGGGACTACAGGCATGGGCCACCATGCCCAGCTAATTTTGTATTTGTTGTAGAAATGGAGTTTTGCCATGTTTCCCAGGCTGGTCTCAAACTCCTGGGCAGAAGCAATGTGCCAGCCTCAGCCTCCCAAAGTGCTGGGATTACACGTGTGAGTCACTGCGTCCAGCCTCTCTTCTTCTTTATCCTGCAACCTAGAATGTAGATGCTGCCATCTTTACAAGCAGTGCAGGTCACAAATGGAAGGAGCAACAAGGTCCCTAATACCAGAAACCAGAGTCCCTAAGACCACGGAGCACCATCACCAGTGTGGGCACCCTGCTCAAAGTTTCATGTGAACAAGAAATAAATTTCTACCTTGTCTGAGTCATTGCTGTTTTCAGAATTTTCCATACATTCCGACGTATACCTAGTAGATTGCCCGGCTTTTTCACATCTTCTGCATGTATTTTCGGATGAGTGCCAAATAATGTCAGAATCAACACTAGAACTGCCCAGTAGAGTGAATAGTTTAGATGGATCACCAAGGCTTCCTATGAGAGCTTAACAACTCTTCAAGGTAAAGGATCCTGGAAGAAGCAGAGGATGTTTGAGGACACGTGTATAGTTGGCAATAGAGGAGAATCTCTGACTTGCTTAGAAAATCGGTTCTACCCAGGAGGAAGAGGCTGCAATTGCTCATTAAAATTTGAAGTGTATTTCTCTTTCTTTTCTAGACCCTTAGATAAACTCCTGTCAAGAAAAAAGAAAAGCCACTTCCTCTCCCTAATTTGACTTTATTTTTATAGTTTTAGGTTTCCCACTTGGTAAATGGAATTCTTTCCCCATTTTGAATGTAACTCATTGCTACTTATTTCCCAGGCTGTCATTCATTCCTTTTATTTTCTCTTCACAGTAAATAGTTCTTTCCAGAGAGTAAGGCTCAGTGAGTGTGACCTTTCCTGATTCTTTGTGTCATTTTTGCTCCCATAATCCATGGTTTGATGCTGAGAACCCTCTTCTGCTACAGAATGAGATAATCCCTGTATCTAGTGAATGCCTACTGGAAGAAAAGCTCTATGAAGGCAGAGATTTGTATTGCCGTGTCTCTAGTACCTAGAAAAGTACCTTGCATACAGTAGGAAATATATATATATAATTTTCTGAATTTATGATTCAAATCTAATATAGCTTTCTCTACTTAACCTCACCAACATCCCACCGCTTACCCCTCAGTTCCATCAGTTTGTGTGTGTCCAGTGCACAGTAACATCCCAAGTGGTCAACAGCCAGAATCTAGAAAAAATAAACACTGAATTTAAACTAATAGCCATCTCTTTTTTAAAGCAAACTTCTGAAGAATTTTAAGCAATGGGGAAATTAAGACAAGTTTATTACAAACCATAAAGCCTTGAAAATATGATGCTTCTTGTATATTAGTCAGCTCTAGCTACAATCATGCTGCAATAAAAACCATCTCCCAAATTCGGTGGCATAGAATAATAAGCATTGATTCCCTGGTTCACACATGTGCAAGTTGGCTGGTTTGTCTAATCTAAGCCAGGCTCAGCTGGACTTGGTTCCAAGGTATAGGCCAGACCCAGATCTGCTCTATTTGTCTCCATATCTTTCTTTTCCAGCAGTTACCCAGGGGATATTCTCATGGCAAAAAGCAAGAGCACAAGAAGATAAGTTCGATGCACAAGCATATTTCAAGCCTCTGTTTATGTCCTGTCTGCTAACATCTCATTGGCCAAAGAAGGTCATATAATTGTGCTCAAAGTCAAAGGATTAGGGTGTACACTCTACCCAACAGGAAGCCATGGCAAGGGAATGAATGTGCAAAACAAAAAGGGGAGAGTTGAGACCAATGATTCACTTTATCACACAAGATTTGAAAAGTATCAAATATAAAATGAGGTCATTTTCTGTTATCAATACAACTCTTATGATATACATTGTAAACTTCATAAGAAAAAGAAGTGGGGTATGAAGTCCCCAAAACTTAATAGTCCTTAAGTCTGGAATATGTTCTTCTGTTTTTGAATGAACAATGCATGCTGGGTAAAGGTGGTGAAGATGTACCTCGGGGTCACATCCTCTCCCAACATGGTAGCGTGTTCCAGACCTCAGTTCTAACTTCATCCTTGCCCAGAGCTTTTAATTCTCCCCCTTGGTAAAAGCAGCAAATGGCAGGAAAAACAACTCCAGGCATTTTATTTAAAACCTTCTTCCTGCAAAAGGACATGAACTCATCCTTTTTATGGCAGCATAGTATTTCATGGTGTATACGTGCCATATTTTCTTTATCCAGTCTATCATTGATGGGCAATTGAGTTGGTTCCAAAACATTGCTATGGATGAAGCTGACAACCATCATTCTCAGCAAACTAACACGGAAACAGAAAACCAAGCACTGCATGTTCTCACTTATAAGTGGGGATTGAACAACGAGAACACATGGACACAGGGAGGAGAACATCACACACTGGGGTCTGTAGGGGGTTTGGGGAGGGGAAGGAGAGGTATAGCAATAGGAGAAATACCTAATGTAGATGGCAGGTTGATGGGCACAGCAAACCAGCATGGCACATGTGTGTCTGTGTAACAAACGTGCACGTTCTGCACATCTATCCCAGAATTTAAAGTATTTAAAAATAAATAAATAAATAACTTTCTTTTTGGTTGAGATGATGGTTTCATGTCAGATTAAAATGAAAGTTCCTTGAATGGCAGAGGAAGAAGTATAAAGTTATGGCGGGTTGGGGAATGTTAGAGACTCCCCACCCCCACCCACAGCATGAGCCCTTTGACATCTGACCCAGCGAGTGGTCCTCAGCCTTGTTGGCTGCCAAGTCCCTACTGTAGTCACTCCAGGGATCTTTATGCTGGTACCCTCAGGCTGAATGTAGATAGAATGTAGGGAGGCCGGGCGTGGTAGCTCACGCCTGTAATCCCAGCACTTTGGGAGGCTGAGACAGATGGATCGCGCTATCAGGCATTCGAGACCAGCCTGGCCAACATAGTGAAACCCCATCTCTGCTGAAAATACAAAATTAGTCGGGCGTGGTGGTGGGAGCCTTTAATCCCAGCAACTCAGGAGGCAGAGGTTGCAATGAGCCAAGATTGTGCCATTGCACTCCAGCCGAGTGACAGTGCAAGACTCCATCTTAAAAAAAAAAAAAAAGAATTTAGGGAATCTTTGAACCTGGTCAGAAGTTAACTAACATTTAACTAAACTAATATTCAGTTAACTAATACAAGCCAACAGCACTTCCTTCAGTTAACAAACCGCAGTGGTGTTGTTAGCAATACCTACAGAAATCACACATTTTTTTCATATTTCATGACACTCATAGATATCTTTTGTAGGTGTCATTTGCGTTCAGCACGACTTTGAAAATGCAATCCTTATTAGATATACTGCTAGATCTGATTCTTTAGTGCATCATTAAACACAGAGCACCACATCACAAATTTAGTTTTCTAATATTTTTATAACTATAATTGTAATCTAACTATTTTGTTTTATGCATTGTTTCAATGACTTCTCACTGGGGGAATAGAAAAGGTCAGAACACTCCCTGCAGTGTGAAAAACTCGGAAGAGCCATCCCAGCACCAGAGCTCCATGTAGAGTCAGCTGAGGCCTTTATTGGGATTGCACTGCAGCCCAGTTTCTCCCAGTGCCCCAGGGTTTGATCCCCAGATCTCCAATAGATCCATATGCTGTGGGTCTGGTAGGGTTAGGGCCCTCCATTCCAGAGCACTCTCTGATCTCCAGTTGACTGTCATATTTCGGCACCTACCACAGGGCCGCGCACAGAGGAGAAATTTAATACGTGTTTAATGAATGGAATTTAATCTGCAAATCTGACCGTCCTGCCAGCAGTACCCTTCTCCCAGTCTCTAACAAGAATCTTAGCAGTCTGTAGGCTGTTTGCCAATGAGTTGAGCTAAAGAACTTGCTACCCGTTAGGAAGAAAAGCCACCTGGAGATGCTCTGAGAGCAGTTAAAGATCTTGGCAAGGACCTCAAAATACACAGTGAAGTACCAGATGGCCAGTGCCTAGAGCTTTCTGCCCTGGGGATTGTGTCACCCCCAAATCCCAAGCCTCAGCAAGACCCAGTTAGAAGGATCTTGCACTTGTAGGTACTCAGACCAGGACACTGTTTTCAGTGTCCTGGGACTTCTCCCTGAAGCTGATTCTTAGCATTTAACCTTGTTTTGCTTTATCATTAAATCTTCTCGTTTTTCATCATTTTGTTATTTTGCAGCCACATGAAATTGCCATTTCTGAAGGTCACATGAAATCAAATACTGGCTATTTCATGTATTCAACCTAAGAGTATACGGTAGCTTAATTTTTAATCATAAACATTCATCTTATTGTATGAAATATGATCTGTCCTATTTGCTTTTTAATTATATCATGTTATATCATTTTAATTTACCATTTTATCACTATATCCTTCTCATTTTCTTTTTAGCTTAGGGAAGATATTCAGAACTTTATCCTTTTAGTCTTTTTATTTTAGCTCAATTTGCCATTTTATTAATTAAAATGATTAGCATATTCTTTTAATTTAGCTTTAGATAGCAAAGTCATTTACTATCAGCACAGCAATCCTAAAGCTGGGCTTCTGCCCAGTTCCCCCCAGAGCCTGTGAGGGCTGCTTAGAATGTGGCAGTTGGTCTCCCCCTTAAGAAGGGGTTGTGCTTTCCTCCTGTCCACCTCTGTGCAGGCTCAAGTACTGCAAATAGGAAAAGATCAGTTATTAATATGTGAGCTTGATGCTCTGTTCTAGAGCAGTGGCTCTTAACTTTAGCTATATAATCAAAACACCTGAAAAGTTTGTAAACTAGCAATGCCCAGCCATTCTCAATTACATGGGAATCTCGGGGCAGGTCAGACAGCAACATCTTTTAAGTTCCCCAGGTAATTCCAATACCAGTCAACTTTCAAATCTCTTGGTCTATAACTTTGCTATTCTAAATTGGTCTGTGGGCCAGTGGCACCTGGGAGCTTGTGAAAGCTACAGAACCTCAGGCCTCACTACAGTCTTGTTGAATCAGAGCCTGCATTTAGCAAAATCCCCAGGGGATTTGGGTGCACGTTGAACTTTGAGAAGCATTGGCTTAAAACACATTTTGATAGGCTTTGCATGTTAACCCTTCTTTACATCTCAAATATTTGTAAAGTTAATCATTTCTATTGTTTTTAAATCTCCTGTCAATAGGAAAGGATGATTTGGCTAATTCATGATAAAATATCTGTTTCCCAGGTAGGCTGAATTGTCTGTAGTGTAGGAGATGGGGAGAGTTGAATTTATCAGAAGTCCTCTAGGAGAACACTATGGTTGCTTAGGTTTGCCAGAAGCAGCCTGCTGGGGCAGAACAGGGCCCCATGGGCAGAGTGACAGCAGATGCCAAGACTGGAGAGGAGGAAAAGCACTTCACAAAAACAAGAAAAGAAATTATCAGCTCCTGAGAAGAGGCAGGAAAAATAAAGGGAGATGGGAGGGAGAGAGAGGCAGGGGAAGGAGAGCTTTCAAAATTAGTCGCAGATGGTGCAGGATCCCTCAAACCTTCCGTAAGAGTAATAAACTTTATGGGATGCATGGTGTGATGCAAAACAGTGAAAGGTCTGCGCATATCCAGGTTTTCAACATGGGGACAAGATAGATATTTGGTGTCTGGATGCAGAAACCAGGGCCAAGAGCACCAGGAGGAAAACAGCCGTGAGTAATCCACAGAAATCACTTAGGAAATGCTTCATCAGAGGCCATGAAACTGGGAGTTGAGTCTGGTTTATTTTGATCTACAGGAGCAGAGACACCTCAGCCAACGAGTGAGATAAATATCCTACTTAACTCAGATTCTGGAGATGAGATGGGTCCCCACTACTGCCAAAGGTCAAAGGCTGCCTAGAAATTGCAAGCTTCACTTGGGTTTGTTTTGGAAAAACAGGCAATTCCTGGCTTCCCCCAGAAATTCTTATCCCCAAATAATATTTCCAACCATGTTTCTAATTCCCAGAGGTCCCTGAGGACAGTGAGCACTCCACTCCATATGACCTCCAGCTCCCTAAAAGTAGGTGCCATGCTTGCTCTTAAGGCCTTGGCTGAGAAGGGCCAGGGCCTCCAGCCATCCACAGAACGCTGTACCTGGGAAGGGGTGTGTTTTTTCCACTAAAGGGGAAAACCCAAGGCTGGGACTTGTTTCTCCTCACTGGGAGGAAGTTGGATGGTGTCTCCAACTTCTGACCCTCCTGCAGGCTTTGTCACTCAAACAAA